CAGCGCTGCCCGGCCTCTCCCCGCTCCCGGCCGCCTGCGGGGAGAGGGCGCCTGCGAAGGCACCTGCTCGCCCCTCGGCTGGGCTTTGCAGGGGGAAGTGTGTGCCCCCGTTTTAATCTGACGCGTCTGCCAGTTACAGCCAGGGAGAAGGCAGGGGGGTTTGTGTGGCTCACACAGTTTATTTTCCGAGCACCGCGTCTGTATCAGCCCTGCAGACTGAACCAGGTATTCACACCTTTCTCAGGCGGTTGGTGCTCTATGGCCTTCGGAGAGGCGTATGACGAGACACATGATACATGACCCTGTGACCAGGGTGGCAGCAGGGAAGAGATCTGAGCTGCTTTTACTGGATCATTACAAATGTCCAGATGTAAAGCTGTTTTGGTTTGTTTTTTTTTTCTATTTTTTCCATCCTTATAGCTTTATTTGGAAACGGATCAAATAACTGCTAGTGCTGTGTAACGCAAAATGTGTGTATCAGCTTATTTTGGTGTAGATGTTCTTTGCCAGCGGATTGTTAACTGTCAGGTGTCTTCCAGATACTCAGACTTTTGAGTTGAAATGCAAGCACCAAGCTGCTTTGTGGTTTTCTTCATTTTCGGTTTACAGAAAAACTGCAAGAAAGCTCTAGATGGTTCTCTGGTTTTATGACAGGAATAAAAGCATTTGGCAGACTGCTTATTTTGCCTGAGTATTTCATAAAAACATATTCATAGTTGTTAATGTCGTTGGTTTTCAGTTGGTTGCTACCTTGCCTGAGGAAATTCGCCCTGGGCCTGATTTCCATGGACTTCCATGGGAGCCTGTTATTATCACTGCCTTAGTGGGAATTGCCACGCTTGCTGTAATTTTCTGGAGAACCTGCCTTTCAGTGAGTATACTTAATGCGTTGCAAGCCTGCTGATATTTCACTTACTGAGCGGTCTTTTGTATGGTTAAACTGTTCCAGCGTTACTGGGGTCAAAGCAGTATGTAGTCTTTCGCGTTTTTACTTTTTCCATTTAGAGCATTAATGTGAACTAAATGCTGGCCTTAGCAGCTAAAGTAAGTTGTAATTTTCTTCATGCGAAGAAGTGTTTCCTTTAAGCTATTAATTGGAGATTTTTTTCTTTTAGTAAGGGGCAGTTTTGAAAGCAAAATAAGGGAGTATGATATAAATCAAGAAGGCCGAGGAAAGGGTCAGCATGTCTTTGAAATGAGAAGCTTTCCATGTGCTTGAGCCAGTTGCTGACTGTCTCAAAAACAAGCAGTTAATCCTTCCGTCGTCATACTGTCCACCTGCTTGTAGGTGCTGCGTTTAGGACCCTAAGCACCCAATCTTAATTCTCACTGGAGAGCCCCTTCCCCACTCTGTCCCTCACTCTGCATTTGTCCTCCTCTTTCCTACACGGATAATTTTCTGTGCAAGAAAAATACCATCCCAGCTCTTGAGTATAGCGGTGCATCTCCTTGGGAACTAACTAATAGATGAAAGTCAGGCAGGACAGTTTATTTTACAGCTGTCCGGTTGAGTGATGATATGCTCTGGAGGTCTGTGGAATGCTTTATCTTTGCTTGACACAAATACGTTAAAACTAAATATTATCTTTAAGAACACTGGTAGTTTTTTTCCTTGCTTTGTTTTGATACTGAATACACTAGGTTGGTTTCAAATGCAAAACAGCGTTAATACAACAGGATAAAAAGAAAGCTTCTGAAATTCTTTAACGGTGTTAGTTTCAAGATGAGCAGCTGCCACGTAAACATACGTTGCTTTAAATGGGTCAGAACTGGGACGCAAGTGTTTATTCTGTTTGCAAGTTCTTGACTGTTGTTTGATGCAAAATGGCTTAATTTTCCTTGTTGCAAATTGGATGTGGGCAGTCACTGCTATCCTTTTAGCGACTGAGTAAACAGATGTTTACGAAGGCTCTCGGACAGGGCATTAACCTAGAAGCTTTTATTAGAAAACAGCTTAAGCTTGTTTGTAGTGTTATTCAACACTCTTGTTGGCAGTGATAGATGTATTTTCCATATGCTGCTTTAGTCCACATATGTGCGGTGACTTTTTTCTATAGGAAAAACTAACAAAACTTTTCACTTCTGTAGCTAACTTTTGTTTTTTTCTTCTGTAGGTAAAGAGTAGAATATATCAAGGTAAGTTTCTCTGTGCTTTTCGGTGTACTTGATGCTTAGGCACGTAAAAGTTTTGAAGGTTGTTTCAAAGGACCAAGTGTCAATCTTCACTGCCTTTCAAGGAGAATGCTAAGTTTGGGGTTAATGGTGTAAGCTCGGCTGGTGGATGATACCTATTTGCATCCGAGGATTTAAACTTTGCTTTCGATAATGCTTTGATTAGGAGAAGCAATGCAGCTCACACCTGCAAATTGAAGAAAAGGGCAAGGAAAAGCTCCGCCTTGTTCCACATAAATGTCATCCATTGGCTTGTTGGTACAATGATAGTGGGGCAGAGTTTGTTTTGGTTTTCTGACTAGCAGTGAATCTGCTTTTGCTTGTTGCTTCTCTCACAAATCGGTGGCTAGTTCCTCTTGCCTTTTTGGATTGAAGGGAGCCTGAAACTGCCTGCTGTGAAGTTGCAAAGAGACCACCTAAGTGTAGACCTAAATACACAGGTACTCCTGGGGCTAGTGCATCACTTTTTACAAGGGTGTTTCTAGAGCTTCAAGGGTATAAAATTAAAGTGTACCGAATGGAGAGGAAATAGAATTCAAAGTAGGGCAATTGCTGAAATTCCTGAAATTAAAAAATGTGAAAGAATTGTCTTCACACGAACTCTCTGCCTGTTCCCTCTTCACAAACCATGCTACTTACCTGTCATTCCTCTCTAGTTTCATTGTAGTTACACTGCAGTTTCCTTCTATGTAATTAATGCAGAACTGATGAGCTGAAAAAATCCATTTTGGGTCTGTAAGGAGATTTCTGTGCTGCTAATCAAATACTATTGGAGGGGGAAAAACATTGGTCTTGGTGTTGTAGAAATTACTTAGCAGCCTGCCTTAAAAAAAAAAAAAAAAAAAGAGGATCACAGATTAATGCCCTTTTGTTTTTTCCCCCTAAATATTATTCTGCATAATACTATATGGAAACTACTAAAGCTAAGAGCAAACAAATATTCTTCAAGCATGACAAAGTTCACATTGTTATGAAAGTCTTTATCTGAAATTGAGGAATATTAACAGTGACAAAAATGCATTAAGAAATAGATTGCATTTGGAATCCCAAAGATAAAATCTGTTATCCACTCTTCATCACAGTAGTAAAATTGGGAGACCAAGCTAATGCAGGGATCCCTTCCCCCTCCCTTGTACCTCAGCAGTCGCTTGTTGGCTCTCCTCTCCCCAGAGCAAGCAGGGCTGGGGACCTCCTGGCCCCAGAGCCCTCCCGTGGGAGGGCGAGGAGGAGCAGCTGTTGCCATTACACCCCGTGGGGTGCAGGTGGAACAACCAGTGCTTCCTGTTTGTGCTGCAGTTTGCTGTGAGGCAAATGGGACTTGGGATGTTCAAGTACGGGGGTGGTATAGGACTTGAAAAAGAATGACAATTGGCTATTTCTTCAAATTAATTTGCAATAAAATAATTTTAAGTATGTTAATGAGTTTGGTTGAATTGTGAGGGCTGATTGAGGGAAAAAAAATACATGCCTAAGGAACTGTTCCTCGATCATAGCCCTTTTGAGGTGTGTGAGCAATGGTGTCTGTTAGAAAGCCGTGCAGTTCCTTGAGGCTTGCTTATGCTGTATGCTAGCTGACAGTCTGTTTTCTGTTCCCAGTAGGTCTTTCAGAGCTTTCATCCTGTTATCTTTGCTGACCAAACATTGTTTCAGTACAGCAGGAAGAGGTGGTGGTTTAGGGAAGGTGTTGTGTCTCCCTGAGTGTCAGTGGGACTGAGACTTGCTCCGACATCCTCGCTGCCAATTCTTCCCTTGAACACACCTCATCTGGGTGTAGCCAGCACCTTGCTCTGCTCTGCATTCTCTGACCAGCTTCTGTGAAGTGGATGCAAGAGCTCTATGCTTTGTGTCGGCCTTCAGTGCTTTACTGTCTTGTTTTCAATCCTAACTTTAAATGAAAGCTGGAAACGCTTAGACTCCTGCAGAAGGGGCTGACTGTCTTTACTTGAGAATGTTCCCTAAAGTGGTAGTAACGATAGCTCTGATTTCTTCCCCCCAGGATGTGAAGTACGGTTACTGTAAGGGTTTCTTTTTCTTCCTAGTGACTGAAAAGCAGCTTGCTGAAAAGATTAAAAACCTGCTACAAGAAAAAACAGAAATCTTAGAAAAGATGTCAGAATATGATCAAAAGGTATTGTTCAAGGTTCTTGTCTTTTGCTTCCTAGTTTTCTGTTATTAGTTTAATGACGCAGTCAATACAAAAGCTACTATATTTTTATTTTCTGTTCTTACTGAATATTATGTTTAGAGTTTCCTCAGTTCTATTTGGTTGTTTCTGTGCTTAGATAAAGGAAGCAAAGGAATCTGTGAAAGTGGCACAAGAACAAAAAGACGTTCTCTCCGATGAAACTGCAGGGCTTAAGGTAAGAAACAGTTAACTGTCTCTGTACTGAAAGCAAAAAACATCAGTAAAATAACTTGCTTTACTTGGTCTCTTACTCTTTTTTTTTTTTTTTTTTTTTTTTTTTTTTAGGACACTGTCAAAGAACTGGAAGAAGCAAATCGTCAGCTAGATGACAAAGTGAAAAATCTGCACACAATGCTTGAAACAGAGAGAAAAAAGAATGAGAAGAAGCAGAACAAGGCAAGCGCAATCACATTAATGTCTTATATTGTCCTTAATGTGTGCTAAAAGCTGGTCACAACCTGATGGGTAAACAGATAGAGGTAAAGCAAACAAGATGAATCAACTGAAAAAGAGAGCTGAAATGTAATTTTAGGTTCGTCCCAAGCTCAAGAGGGAGAACGTATTGATTGCTTGGTGGTGGTTGGGTTTTTTTTGTTTGTTTGGGGGTTTGGGTTTTGTTTTTTTTTTTTTGGTAAGATCTTGATGAACTTGTATGGCTATGCACTTTCACACACCAATGTATGTATTCGGGTCATGATCTAGTCTTAATACTTCCTAGTCAGAGTCAGGAAGTTCTTTAACAATATGGGCTGAAGGTTTCAGGTTGGTAAGAGACATTTTCTTCTACTTAGAGGAAGCATCTAAATTCTATAATAAGTGTGAGGATCTCTTAAGCTGCCTGTCATTCTTGTTGTCTAGAGTTAGAGGTGGTTTTTTTTTTTTTTTTTTTTTTTTAAAGCCTAGTTTTCTATAGTAATGGTGAGTGCCAACAAGTTCTTTGGTGTTTTGATCAAAGGTTGTTGCTAACGACAGCAGCACGTGGTACTTTCATTCTAGACTGTGCAGGTGTACAGGGAACTTTCGCAGTCACAGATAGGCAGAGTCACAGGGGGAAGTTGATTCTTATGTGCTGTGTGTTTCTATACCTTGCCTTGCTGATAAGGCAGCACTGTGTTGCTGCTAGTCTAATGGCTGCTCTAAATGGAAATTTGTTGGTGTTTTGACTTTCCTTTTATGCTTCTGAAATATACAGGTAAGGTAATTACACACTTAGTCTAAGGCATGTACCAGGCTAATACAAAGTCACTGCTCATTTTTTTCTTATATAGATCTCTGAAACCCAGAAATCCTTGGAGAAACTTCAAGAGGCTATCAGTGTGCATTCTGCAGAGCTCTCAGAGGTAAAGCATTATCTATGCCCTCTTAACAGTCACAGATACAGGTTCTTGTACCAGGAAAATTCATATCTGGGATGTAATTGAAAATGCTAGCTTGGCAGATTCCAGGTTGTTTGTGCATATGTACCTTTTTCTTTTGCATTAATACATAGCTCTCGGTCCATTACAGTTTGACTTTGTCTTTTTGTTCGTTTTTGTTTCATATATAGGTGCAGATAGCCCTTAATGAAGCTAAACTAAGTGAAGAAAAGGTGAAATCTGAGCTTCATCATGTGCAGGAAGAGAATGCTAGGCTGAAAAAGAGCAAGGAGCAAGTAAGTTATGCCTGGGCCAGGCAATTGTGTTTCTCTTTTGAAGGAAATATCTGGGCTTTATTCCTAGTTTTCTTGAGTATAACTTCAGTGTGTCTCCGTTTTCTTAACATGTCAGAATTCCATATTTCATATGATTAAGATAAAATTTAAAACCCTCACACCTGCCTGCACAGGCTGTTTGTGCAGGTGAGCCATGTGTCTTCACTATGAAGGCTTTGCCAGTTCCGGTGACTCAGTTTTTGTCAGCAACTTCACAGAAAGCCTGTGCTGATGTGGTGGTCGCTGCATGGTCGAGAGATTGCTGCTCGGGGTCAGGACTGAAGGAAGTCATGGTAAAGAATTGCTGAAAAGCAATTCTGAAGCTAAGCTAAAAGGGCAGAGCCTTTAGCCCTGAAATGCCATGACAGTTCTTTTACAGATAATTGTAAATATCTGTCTGTTTTCTTTCTCCATATATGAAGTAGCAGGCTTTTTAAGGAATATGGTTCGATTACCTCTGGACTGCAATCAATTCGTCATATTTTGAAGTGTGTGAGCAGTTCCGTTCTGATGTTGGCATATTAGCTGAGAAAATGTCCAATTTTTAAAATCACCTAATATAAATTGCAGAAAGATTTCCCAGCATCCAGTTATACCAATTGACTAGTGATGTGTGTGATAACTGTGAAGCTTACCCTTTATCTGTGATCTGTGGTGACCAGTTACCACCAGAGCTGGTAGTAAAATAAACTTTAATTACATATATCTTCTACTAAAAATAAAACAAGTAATCATCTTGCCTTGGTGCTTCATACAGCTGCTGAAAGAAGCTGAAGGTTGGAGTGAGAGGCATACTGAGCTCAGTGAGCAGATCAAACTGTATCAGAAGTCTCAGAAGGACATAGAAGAAGCACTCGCCTACAAGGAAAATGAAATAGAAGTAGGTTCTTAATAACAAGCTTGCTTTAAAGATTACACATGATAAAATACTTTGGAATGCTTAACAAAATGCAGAGCGATCCTGCTTCAGTGAACCTTTGGTTTCATTACTAGGTTTTAACTAACTGCATTATGCAGCTGAAGCAGCTTGACATGGATTCAGCATCTGAGGCCAAGAAGGATGGTGAAGGGCGTGAATGGAGCGCAGGAGACGATCTGGCCAACGGAGAGTTGCCAGGTACAGTAATCCTACCTGCTGGTTGATATGGCCAGTGGCTAAAGTGTATGCAGTGGTACGGTCATGTCATGTCATACGGGGAACAAAGGGAATCTGTTCCTGTGGGTTGAGAGACTGACAGCTTTAATCCTCAGACGACACACAATATCTCCTAACTGTGATTCTGTGATTAAGGGAGAGACCATTAAAAGGGCCTATAACTGCTTTTAGATTACCGTTCAGGCATATCGTAAGTGTAATGACACCGTTTTAAAGATTGCATTAAAAAGTTAGCAATTAAGAACATTCCAAAGCTGAGAATCTCAGCTTTGTTGTTATGCTACATTTATTTTTAATATGAATTTTTAATGAGTATTGTGCTTACCTCCCGGTTAGATAAATAATTTACATAATCATAGAATCATAGAATGATAGAATGTTTTGGGTTGGAAGGGACCCCTAGAGGTCATCTAGTCCAACCCCCCTGCAGGGAGCAGGGACACCGCTAACCAGATCGGGTTACTCAGAGCCCCGTCCAACCTGGCCTTGAATGTTCCCAGGGATGGGGCCTCCACTGCCTCTCTGGGCAACTCATTCCAGTGTTTTACCACCCTCATTGTAAAGAATTTCTTCCTTATATCCAGTCTAAACCTACCCCGGTTTAGTTTAAAACCATTACCCCTTGTCCTGTCACAGCTGTCCCTACTAAAAAGATTTTCCCCATCTTTCCTATAGGCCCCCTTTAAGAACTGAAAGGTCGCAATCAGGTCTCCCCGCAGCCTTCTCTTCTCCAGACTGAACAACCCCAACTCTCCCAGCCTGTCCTCATAGGAGAGGTGCTCCAGCCCTTGGATCATTTTTGTAGCCCTCCTCTGGCCCCACTCCAACAGGTCCATGTCCTTCTTGTGCTGAGGGCTCCAGAGCTGGACACAGGGCTCCAGGTGAGGTCTCCCCAGAGCAGAGCAGAGGGGCAGAATCACCTCCCTGGCCCTGCTGGCCACGCTTCTCCTGATGCAGCCCAGAGCACGGTTGGCTTCTGGGCTGCCAGCGCACATTGCCGGCTCATGTCCAGCTTTTCATCCACATACATCTTAATCACATCTTTTAAATCTGAAAGACTGAAATAGACATTTTCAAAACTATTCAGGAAGTTTGTCATTCCTGATGTTGCACATGTATTTGCTACATTTGTGGTTTTGAAATCTTTTTAAATTTTCCTTTTTTTCTAACCGTATGTTATATATGGGCTGGAAATTCCCACTTTTTGATTTTCAGGTGGTATGTCCAATAACAGCGCATTTGTATTGATATTAGTGTGGTGGCTAGAAGATGTAACAAGAAGGAATCTTCTGAATGCCTTTTGGAATACATCTTCTAGTTATGTTCTGCTGGTCGTGGAATTGCGATTGTGTTTTCCTCCCCACCTTCCCCCCTCCCCTTCTTTTTTGACCATGTGAGGAGACCTATCCCAGATTAAAATGCAGAAAGTGCTATTTTTAACAGCTGTGGAGTCCAGGGAATTGGGGTTAAGAAACAGGGAAAACAAATATATTTTTCTCTTCTAGATAACGAGAATGAGAAGATGAAGACTCAGATTAAGCAGATGATGGATGTCTCCAGGGTATGCTGCACAAGATACCTAATAAATGCAGCCACATTACTACTATGCCTCAGATCATAAACTTTTGCTCCTCTTTTCAGGTAAAAACTATGTTATCCATAGTTGAAGAAGACAGAAATCTTCTGCAATCCAAACTGAGTGATGAAGTAACAGCAAGACAAGAGCTGGAAGGTAGGCTTAGCAAAGGAGTTGCTTAGGATGAAATGACATTTGTGGTTTAAAAAGAAACAGAGCGTTTGAGAGGCATAACAGTTCTCATTGCTACCTTCTTCAACTTCTTCACCTACCTTTGCTTCTCCAACAGAGCAAATAAAAAAATTAGAACATGACTCCTGTTCGCTCCAGTCAGCCAAAGCTCGGCTGGAAAATGAGTGCAAAACACTACAGCAGAAAGTGGAGATTCTTGGTGAACTTTACCAGCAGAAGGAGATGGCACTCCAGAAGTAAGGCTTTCGTTACTCTTCCACAACATAGCATGTTCTATCATATGCACTATTCAAATGCTCTGTGCTCGGTGAGGTCAAATAACTTCAAGTTGTATTTGGAGTGAAAGGTGATGACTACCATTTCAGTACTTCAGTGTTCAATGAGTCTAATTCTCATAATGCAGAAACTTAGGATTTTAGCCTTGTGAGCTTTTTGCATTCTCAAAGGGCTAAATTAAGGTTGAGTTCATGGTGGTAGATGAGATGAATGAATTGCTAGCAGTGAAGAACTAGGTCTGTATCTGTGTTCGTTCCTCATTTATTATTCATTTATTTACTTACTGAAATATCTGTAATACCATCTCAATTTTGTGGGGAAAACTTAAGAGAGGATTCCAGGACATTTTCAGCTAAATGCTTTAGGAAAGCTGGAATTGTGGTGGAGAAGCAACTGAAACTTCTAAGGTTCAAGTGTGTAGGCTGGGGGAAGCAAAGGTTTGGAACAAGCTAAGGAGTTGAGGCTATACAGCACCTCAGTAGTGAAACTGCCTGACATAACTTTATGATCCAGGCATAGTAAACACATAATGGAGAGGTAAAGGATAGCCCACCTTTCAAGGAAAACTTGATCTTGACCTCTCAAGGATTTTTACTCCTTCCAAAATTTCTGGGAAGTTACCCTGCCTGTAACTAACTTCTTGATTCAAATGAAGGACTTCCTGCAATTTTTTTTTTTTTTTTTTTTTTTTTTTTTTGGAAAACTGTTTCCACAGGTAGTGAAGGACATGGATAATGTTGAACTGGCTATTAGCAGTAATCAACTTACTACTAGTTTAATGATTCCATATTTGTGGGATAGCACTTGTAAGTTAGAAACACAGTATGGACCTCTTCAATACTTCCAGAAAAATGTCAAAAATTAAAAAATTAGTGAACCATGAGGTTATTAAAAGACTTTGGAAATTGGTGATGTAATAAATTGGCATGGAGAATACTTGAAAAAACCTTCTTGCCACATGGTTGATGACTATTGAATGTGTATTTATCACTACACATTCATTTCTTCATTTCCCTTGGTTAGATGTCAGTTCTGCGTATTTCCTTGTTTGTACCTTTGTAAATCTGGATTACCATTTGTAGAATTGGAAAGTGAACTACAGAATCTGAAGAGATGAACTGTCTGCAACTGTTGAATTCTGACAAATCTTTAGATACTGGCAGAACTTCCCAGTCAACTCGTGTGTCCTTAATTTTCAGGTTTTATACACAAAGGGTTTGTCTGTTGGTTTCAAAAGACAGAATTTCTGTCTCTTTTTTTTTTTTTTTTTTTTTTTTTTTAAATTTTTTTTTATTTTCGTGTCCTGGCGCGCATGTAATTGCCTGTAGCTTTCTAATGATAAAGGCAGTTTCACATGAGAAAAATCTGCATTGATCCTGGTTCCAATTTACATTTTACTTCATTAAAAGGAAAAAATTGATCGATGTAGATAAAACTCCCTGATCAATGATCCTAGCTCTTGCTCTTGCTCTCTCTCTCTCTCCTTTTTTTTTTTTTTTTTTTTTTTTTTTTTTAAAATCTTTCTTCATTCTCTTTCTGTATTCTCACACATTATTATAGATTCTGATACCATTGTTGTTAGCAGGGGACTACGCTGATTGTGAATTGTAGTAGATATTGGATGGTGGAATATATATATATATGGTGCTTTTTTTTTCCCCCCCCCATACAGAAAACTAACCCAGGAAGAGTATGAGCGTCAGGAGAAGGAGCAGAAATTGTCTGCTGCGGATGAAAAAGCTGTGCTGGCCATTGAGGAAGTGAAAGTTTACAAGTAACTTCAGTTTCTGAAGACTGTTATTTTCCTTTATTTCAGGTGTTGAAGGAAATCAATTTAAACCTCTCTCCTTCCCCTCCTTTTCCTTTTCTACAGGCAAAGGATCCAAGATATGGAAGAAGAATTGCAAAAAACAGAGAGATCTTACAAAAACCAGGTAAATTTCCTGCTTGATGGTTCCTTCGTCACCTTTTACTGCATACTAGTAGCTGGACAAAAATAAGCTAAGACGCTTCTTTTCTTCTCAGATTGCTGCTCATGAGAAAAAGGCACATGACAATTGGGTAAGAATGTTCTTCCTTTTCTGATGCAAACAGTTTGTATGTGACTTCAGGTCGGTGCAGTTAATGCAGTTGGCAAAATTTTCCCTAATAGCTTATTGCCCGCTCTGCTGAGAGAGCTCTGGCTGAAGAAAAAAGAGAAGCAGCCAACCTGAGACAAAAGTAAGTCCAGTACAGACCATTTTTATTGCTCTTTGAACACACTCTGTTGCCTGGGAGAGAATGAGCTCAAACAATGCAAGGTGCTCAGTTAGCCTGCTTACTCAGAACATGCAGTGCATAGTTAACAGTTTAATAGTTGTATAAAATTAGTGTGGTGGTTAAACTAAGATTTCTTGGTGAAAGCTGTAATATTTTACAATGCAGTTTGCCTATGATACTGTTACATTATAAAAAATGGAACTCGCGTATTATTTGAATTAAAAAAAAAATCTTTATTTTTTTAAAATTAGATTAATGGAAGTAAACCAAAAAATCATCATGCTTCAAAGACCATTAATTGTAAAGCCAACTCCAGGCAGACCTGATCGCCAAGTCCCACCGCGACGAGGTAAATGCTGCTGTTTCTCCCAAAACTTTGGTCTTGGAGTCAGTATACCCTAAAAAAATAAGGCTATGATGAATCGTAGAAATGTAAATCAAGTGGGTTTTTTTTCTTCCTTGGTGTAGGGCCTTTAAGCAGAGATGGCTCTTTTGGCCCATCACCTGTGAGTGGAGGAAATCCATCACCCACACAGATGATAGAAGTTCCTGCGCGGCCCCTTTCTGCTCCTCGGAGGGAAGGCTCAAGGGGTGAATTTGGTAAGCAGTGAAGCTCCCCCTCCATGATAACTCTCTCTTATGCTACAAACTCAAGAATACCAAGGTCTGACCTTGGTTCTAGGGATAGTGGTAAGTACTGATACCTGCTTTATTGACACACAGATGGATGGGGTTTTTTTATCTAGAAATAGCTCAGGCACATGTTGATTAGGATCTCTGGGGTTCTTGTTTCCCTTAAGGTGCAGTGGTAGATGGCCCCCCTGCTCCACGAAGGCCACCGGAGTTACCTGGAAGGATGTCTGTTCCTGGTAAGTTATGTGGCCTGCAGCCAACTGCAGCTGACTCCAGTTACTCTTTCACTTCAGAAATGTAGTTTGATAAACCATGTTCCTTATCCCACAGCATGGTAACACATGTATTCGTGTCTCTCTTTACAGATCTTGGGCCTGCTGTAGCATCCCTGATCAGTAGTGGGCCAAGAACCTCCTCCCCTTCCACAGCAATGGATGGAGTGGTAAGCTGAAAAAACCCCAACCTTCAGGAAGCGTTTCTAATACGTGATTTACTGTACTTCCTGCTGCTGCTTTAACTGTATCATGTTCTGTCTTGTCTATATCCTGTCACTATCCTTACTTGCTGTCAAAAAAAAAAAAAAAAAAGCAACCCTCTCCCCAAGAGTCTGAAGGCCCCTGTGTAACTACTGACTCACCTTCATCTATTGAACCAGCTACAGTGAGTATTCAGAGGCTGAACATGGTGTTACTCTGCTTTGATGGAGAGGAATAACAGGCTTGGTGTTCTGAACTGCCAAATAACAAAATGCTCTGCAAAACTAACCAAGGGCTTATACCTCTGTCTCAAAAGGTTTCTCTAATGATGAACGGTTGCTGTCTGGTTTTTATGGAATTGAGGAAATGAGATCTTTCTTGTTAAGGACCGCAGGCAAACACTTTGGAGTGACTACAACAATAATCCCAAGAAGCTGGCTTACCTGTGGTATTTAAGTGCAATTCCATGTGTAATTCACGGTGCCAGGCCCTTTACCAAAGGGGTGTCCACCGAGGACACTGCAAAAGGGATTGAACTTTTCTTTAGTGCAGCTCAGCTAGAGCAAGCTTGTCCTCTCAGAAGGTACACTAAGCATTCACTCCTAGCTAGTGCAAGCAGTGTTCTGGGTGAAGGGACAATGATAGTGCAGTAACTTTCCCTATTTTCTGCTTGGTTAATGTGTTTTGGGGTGTGTTTGTTTTTTCTTCCTCCCCCCCTCCTTCCACCTCTTGGCCCTCGGGTGAGCGGTTGAGGTGTTCAGCGGTGTCAGTACTTCTCTGATGCAGCGAATCGCACACTGAAGTATAACGTCATCTTGCGCAGGCTAACGCTAGTGCCAAAGGCCCGCCCTTTTTTTTTTTGGCCTCCCCAGTGATGGGACCTCCGCCTCCACCGCCTGTTCGCTATGGACCGCCGCCAGCTCCTCTCCGTGGGCACTTTGGACCTCGACCTCTTCCTGTGCCCCTAGGTACAGTTGTGTTGCTGTGTGCTGAAACTTAACTTTTCCCATTGTGCTTCCCCAACTGAGCTCTGCCACCCGTTAGCGTGCAGCTTCCCCATGCTTCGTGGGGCCTGGCTGTCTTGTTCAGTGAGCTTGGGCAGGTGGGGTGTTTCAAGCCTCCTTAATGCCGAGGTGGTTTTCCTTGTTTAGTCTAAAATGGAAACCAGCAGCCAAAAGTCACTAGAATATAATTCACAACCTGCAAAGTCTGTGTGTGACAGTGACCTACCCCAAAGCTGCTCCAAAAAAACAAAGAAATGAGGAACAAATCAGGAGCTTTGCCGCTGAGGTTAAAGCAAGATGTCATTTAACTCCGTGTTTTCCTTTCCTCCTAGTTCGTGGTGCTCCCTTACCACCTCCTGCTGCAAGAGATTTCTTACCTGGCCCGCCCTTGGGCATGAGAGAGATGCCTCCTGGCCCGCCGCCTCCAGATCCAAGAGGCTATGGACGTGGGCACCCTCCTTTTCGGCCCCTGGGTCCTCCTGGCCCGAGAGATTACCCTCCCGGCCCACGGCTACCCCCGCCTGGCTCAAGGGACTATACGCCTTCTCCTAGCAGAGACTTGCCTCCGTCGGGACCCAGGGACTACCCCGCAGGCCCCCCGCCCCCACCGGCAGGCTCAAAGGACTACACACAGCCCCCGGCGCAGAAACCCTAACTACGGCCTCCAGTCAGCAGCTCAACGGAATGGACTAGCGCCCTTCCTGCGGTCAGGATTTTAGGAAATGGTTCTCTATTTGAAGCCATTTGTCTCGTTTCAGTATATTTCAGCTTTTGCGGGATTAATTTTTATCCAATTGCTACAGACATGTGCATTTATGATCCCCTTAAACTCATCCATCCTCTTGGGCTGCAAGAACCTTTTTGTGATGGACTTGAACCTACTCTAAACGTGCAATAGAAAGGAAGTACCTGTGTGGCTAGTTTTAATTAAATGTAGCCTCTGTAACCAGTTGGTGAATGAACTAATTTCGTGAAAAATGTAAATCAAATCATTTCCTGTGGAAATAATTTTTAAGTAAAATGCTATCCTACCTGCCTTCTCCATCACATCATTAAGCTGCAGTTACTGTAGGCCAGGGGTTCACATGAGAAAGACGAGGTGGTTTTTTTCTTTTTCTTTTTTTTTTTTTTTAAAAAAAGATGTCTGGTCAGAGATCAGAAGCACAAATGACACTGTATTCAAAGGAAAGTGATAATAAAAAGCAAAATTCCTTTTGCTAAACCCTGAAGGCTTTGTTTCAGTGCCATTTTTTGTTCAGAAGAGACATCTGTTCAGTAATTTAACGAGAGAATGCTACAGCTGGGACCAAGTTGAGGAATTGAATCAAGGCTGAATAAGCACCGCTGCTGCAAGGTTAGCGGCTGCGTCGCCCTGACACTGACCGAGGCTGGCACCCTAGGTGAGGGGGGTACGGCCCTCCTGAGCCGAAGGGCAGGACAGAGCTGGAAACCTTCATGGAGTTGCGGGGTTAGTTTTGAAATACAGATGGATGCTCTGGGATTCTAGATGCTATGAAATTCCATAATCGCTTTCTGCTTTCAAGACTGGCCTGCAGCGTTAAGCAAGGTTTGAGAGCTGAGTTTTCGTCTAACTCAGTATTTAAGACCGATGCAGCTTCCTTGGCAGAGCGGGGCTGTATTTTTATAGCCTTTTTCATTTACATTAAAAAGAAAAAAAAAGTTTTCTGTAAAGCACACCCTGTGCTTGCAGATGTTCAAAGAAGTCCCTGTGCATAAGTGTTAATACAAGGATGAATACGTTGTATTTGGCATAGCAGACCACTTCTCTAGACACTGAAGTTTTTCAAAAGTGCTCTCAAAAAACGTAAGCCCTAGGGAGGAAAAAAAAAAGGGAAGAGAAAACAACTAGGAATACAATAAAAAAACCGCTAAGGAAAGGCCCTTACAGCTTTACTGCCAGAGTACAAGCAGCCGTTAAGCGTGGCATCTAGGTGTTACGGTCTCACAGTACAAGTATTGAGCTTCAGCTTTAAGGGGAAAGACCAGACAGCAGGTCACTAAAGGATAAAACAACTCGAGAGCTTGTGTGGTGGCAAGGAGTGGTCCTTTCAGTAGAAGACAGTTCGCAGAAGAAAAACCACAAAGGACAGAAGCAACTTTAAAAGTGGGATGTGTCACTCTACAGCCGTTAATTCACAATTAGTTAAATATGAAGCTCTACTTGTGTACTTAACAAAAATACTACAAAGTTGACATTTCATATAACTGGAGTTACAGACAGATACAAGCAGCTGCAACACGGGGTTTGTAATTCAAGTGGAAGTGTTCCGTTTGCGTAGCAGCTAATGACGCGCACTGATGAACACCCGTGTGCTCCAAGTTCAGGCTCTTTCCTTCCCCCACACTTCCCGCCACCTCCCTGGCCCACCCCATCAGCCTTAGCGACTGAAAGCTGGGTGAAATGAGCACCAGGAGGAGGGCGAGGGTGCTGGTGAGGCCCAGGCAGCACACACCTGACTGACCCCGGTGCTTTTACCAGGCCCTGAGGGACACTGGCAGGGATGGGGCAGGGCCGCAGGGATGGGCTGCTTGCCCTGCAGGACCAGGCCCTGCTACAGCTGCTGAGAAGGTCAGAAAGAGACCCCGGCCAGCCAGGGACCACTGGCAGGTAACACAGCTATTGCCCACACTTGGAGTTGTTTGCAGCCATAGCCGGATGCTTTGCTCCATCCTTTTGCACAGTTCCAAGGATGATTTTATTTTTTAAGACTGTATGTATCCTCTTTTTGTCCAGTATCCAGAATGCTGCCTTCCGAGGTACCTCCGTAACTCACAGGGGTATCTTTTCAGGGCCTGCTGTTCGATGTATCAGATGTAATACCACTGGTGTATTTTAAGGATGCACAAACAGGAAAATTCAATTGTACTTCCCCCCCACCTGCCCCAACCCATCGTGGAATTTGAGGAAGTATTGCTGACTTTTGTTGTAACACCTAAGTAACAACAGCCCTAGTTATGCCAGAACAGAGGGAAGGCAAGAAGATCAGGACATTCAAAACCAGCTCATCCTAATCAACATTGTAAAGCCAAAAATGCTCAACGCCTGGCTGCAAGACAGAAAAATATGAAGAAAAGTAACATCCTTCCCTTTAAAGCATGGTGTAACAGGTGACAGAAGAAGAACTGGTGATAGATCTGCACCCAGACTGTGTAAAATAATATTGGTAATATTTTGGGAGCTGGGTCTTTTGTTAGCATAACAGAATACTTAGGCACTAGTTAGATTACACAAGAATTATATCAACCCTTAAAGTATTGTATTAAATAGCCACACAAACGTATGAGAGATTTGACTGGGTTCTACTTCTGTCCCTTTATTAGGTCAAAAGGTAAATGCAAGTGTGTCATAAAATAAGCCAATGTCCTGCAGCTTATCACACACCAAATCAAAAATATAGAAAATAAAGGATAATCCTACCTACTTACATAAAAAGGTAATTTTTAGAGTAGGTTTCCAGACTTGCACAAAATATGCAGAAAACTGCGTACAATCAGGTTCCGTAAGAACAGCAGTTTCATGTAAAAGGTGGGTCAGCCTGCTAGCCAGAGCTGCTTTACCAAAAGCTCTGGAAAAGCGACACCTGAACGCTGAGGGGCCTGTCCTGCTGTCACTGAAACGGTGAAACACCCCCCGCCACCAGGCCAGAGCCCCGGAGAAAGCCTCTCTCCCTCCCCCACCCACCTTGGCAGATCACTCTGGGACAAGATGGAGAAAAATGAGCTCTGTTAGGAAGTAACGGTGATTTAAAGGATCGTAACGCACGTTGTACCCAAAACTCAGTACAAGTGGATCAGGCAAGGCTGTTAAAATCATAGTTCAGCGTTCTCATCTGCAGTTGTCCTCCTCCTGCCCCAACCAAAGCAGAAGAGCTGACCGAGGAGCTCTTCTGTGGCCGCCCCACTTGACCCAGCATCCTCCTCCCTCTCACTTTCAAGTCACTTGCAGTACCTCAAGCTCCTTCCCGCCCCACCTCGTCCTTCTCCAGGCCTCCTGCCACCCCGCCCGCTACAGAGGACTCCGAAATGCAGATGAGAGGAACTACAATAGCACAGCAAGTGTAAACAGGTTAGTAGGCCTGCCACATCTTTATTGCTACAGGTTTGGCAAAGGGGCGGTCTCCATCCTTGGGTGGAGTTTGAGGCAAAAGGATAATAACGGTTAAGATAAAAAGTGATGAACAGCAAAATTAGGAAAAGCAGTCAATATATTTCAGGGCTCTCAGAAAAACCTGTATCTGAAAAGTACTGAAGAAGACTTGCAGTGGAATGGTAGGCTTGCCTCTGACCCTGAAGTAGTGCTGTGCAGGGTGTGATGGTCCCGTCTGACCTACTGGCGTGAATACAGTCGTTTTCCTGCCCCTCGAAGGCTAAGGCTACTACACACAGCTACCAGGACTTGTGGTTCAGTTCACAGAAGTCTCACAACTAGGGTCATTCCTTGTGCAATGTTTGATGGAGGTGAAGGTAAAGTGGTTTCTTGGTCAACAGTTGCAACTTCTTCCTTTTAAAGTCAGTGGGTTTTTTGTACCTGTAACCACAAGAAAGGAAGTTAATCCAAGTGCTCATGGCTGCATTGGAAGATGAAAGCACACCAGAAATCCTCTCCTGTTCAGATCTTATTACCGTCCTCTTTTAAATACATCTGACAAGATGACTGGAAGCAACAACAATGAATAGATTACAGGAAGTAACTCAAACCGGTATCTTCTCTGGATGATTATTTTAACAAAACAAAGATTTCAATTTTTAAATGAATGTGAGCTTTTTGTAAGGAGAATTCACGATACAATACTCCGGGACTGTAGGAAATGCGGTATCTCCTACTTCAGTACTCAGCATTTCAGTACTTCAGAAGTACTCCAGCTGGCACAGATTAAGCACTCTTCCTAGAGATGCCCAGAATGATGAGGTTCACCCTCTTCCTGAAAAAAAAACCCATTCAGAAACCTCACTCAGACCTTCAGCCTCCCAGAAGGATGCGCATCATAATCACTGCAGCATAACTGACTAACCTATTTCTTTGTCCGCTTGGACAACGCTTTGAAGTGTTCATAAAATTCCATTGCAAATCAGTATCCCAGGTCTCAAATCAGTTTTCATTTACAGAAGTTCTGAGCCAGAAGAGTGTGGGAGTTGATTTTTTTTTTTTTTTTTTTTTTTTTAAAATAAAGCTGATCTGACACTCAAGCTAAGGTCAAAATCTCTCAATTTGTTAACTTCATACAAAATTTACTTACAAACACCAGTATTTTATTTGGAAACAGTCTAGTTTTTGAGAAGAGTCTCTAGCCATTTTATTTGCCTAAAAGGACTTTATCTTCCCTTCTTTATTAAAAACGGAATATTCTTTATGGAAATCAAGCTAACGAGCCCAAGAAACCTCCCTTGATGCAACACGCCACACAGTAACTGAACTCTAGTTCACTTCCTCTGCCATTGGCATTTATAATTGCAAGTCACTTACAGTTCTATAACAATTGCCCCAGGTTTAATTTCATCCATCTCCATGAAAGCAAAGCACTTGGTGCTAGTAAACCTTTTCTTAGGCTTGTAGTGTTTGAATTCAAAGAAAATAGCTGCACCTAGAGTGGAAAATGGTGTAATAGAAAAGTTAGCAATTATGGCCAACAGTTATCTGAAAAACACACCTGCCGTTAAGATGCTCTACATGCAGAGGACGGAATTACCTCCAACACTTCTGTTATTTACTCAAAAGCTTGAGCGTGCTAAGGGCACGCTCAACACACTCACAAGAGCTTGGACGCTTCATTCAAATATTCATATCCAGGTAACAGTTTGCCCAGTGACTAAGAAGGTCATAAAGCAGCTCAATACCTGTGTGTAGCAGAGCAGACCGCTGCATTTTTTTATCTTTTTTTCCTTCCTCCCTTGGCTGCAAGTCATCCCAATGACCAATTTAAAAGAGACAGAATGCAAAGGTCGAATTTTATCCTTGTCTGGATCTTGAGCCCTGCAGCAGCAGCTCGGGCACAGCCTGTTTATTAGACCGGGAGCGGCCTAGTGTCTAGACTTTCAAAGCTCCTGGGCCCTGCTGCAGGTCTCTGACACTACGTACCTTTTGTTAGTTTTTCAACGTGTTTCTGAATCTCGATGTCCACATTAAAATGGACATACGTGTCCTCCTTCCTCAAAGCCACAGGAGTATCTTGCACAGGAGTCAGATCTATCCCATTCAAATCTGCAGGAAAGAAACAGCATGGGAATGGCAGAAGCTTCTCAGACTTTAAGGTCCTGCTTTAAGAGATTTATGAATCAATCACTCCTAAAAATTCCACAAAGAGTTATGCACACCTGAATTTTTCCCCTAAACTTAAAAAAGGGGCAATCGTGCCCCTTCACAGTCAGTGAATTTTCTTTTTGATCACAACATGAAAGCAGGTAAAGTTCTAACAATATTTAAGATGAGAATTTGGAATTATCCCGCTTTTTCTTTTTAAGAGCACATTTCTTTCCCCTGCCACCAAAAGATTCCATTCCCTGTGCAAGCAGGACTCCAGCAGGGCTTCAGGATTGCCAGCTGAACCGTCAGAAAGGGATACACACCAAAGACTCCCCTCCATACGGGGTCTGCGGGGTGCAGCTGGCACGGCTTACACAAGCTGTGTGTGCCCTGCTTTGCTGCTGAGACTCAACGTGTATTATTCCTCTTGTTTTTCCCACAGGTAGAGGCACGGTGGGGCCATGGCTTGGACTCCAGCTGTCCGCACCAGCCACTGGTTGTGCTGCTCAGGCACAAGCCACTACAAACAACACTTTCTCACTACGCCTCTGCTGTTCACAGGAGTACATTTGTCCTCTTACTCTTTCTCCTCTCATTAATGGTCCCTTTCCCTCAGGTGGAGCAAAGCTGCCAACGACGTGGCCAAGACTACAAGTACATAGCACACGCATTGTGCCTGGGGTACGGGCTGAGGCTGGGGCACTGCTGATGCACTTCAGCCAGGGAACAGGCTGGGACCACCAGTGTTGCATCAGGAACAAACCTCCAGATCAGCAGTCTGGTATAGAACCAAGGAAAACAACTACTAAGCCTCTTGAGACTCCTAACAGGGACAAAATGACTTTTCAGAGTTACTTTTCCTCACTAAAAATCTTGAGAAATAAAGTATAAAAAGTCACCGTTAGCAGACCAGGCAATAGCCCTCCCACATACACACACACTTTTTGAGCCTATTTTCTACATCATTACTTGGCAGCCACCATTTATAGGAGCTCAAAAATAGAGCGCCACATGTTAACAGAAAGCCTTGCTGGGAAAGCAAACCTAGCAACATACAGTCCTCCCTTAGCTCCAGAAAGGAAATGAGAGTTGGGTCTGAAGGCAAGCAACAGTTTTAACGGTATGTAATACGTTAAGACAAACACTTCAGTGGCAAGGAACAACAAATGTTTGCTTTACAAGTTCTGATAAGTTCCAGGACCCAGTTGATGTTAGAACCCTGTTAGGGCTGGTACTTTCCAGTCGGCCAAGAGAAACTCAGCATGAAAGAATTAAATTTGATTAAACCCACATCTATCCAGCTAGCCCCACCACTGAAGTCACCCGTCCCTCGGGTTTCTGGCATACTAGAGGCAAAGAAAGATCCACGAGTGACTAGAGAAAAGGAGCCCAAAGAATAATTACACACAACCTAAAAATAATGCTGCAAACCTAAGGCATCACCATAAACAAAGAAATACGCAGGTTTCCAAGACTGAAAACGCAAAAAAGGCAGTTGTATCAGCTGGGGAAGGCAAGAGTCATGCTCCAGCTTCCGCCCCAACCAGGTGAACGCCTCAAAGGTCCAGAGAGAAGTGGAACATTTCACCCTTGAAAAATCATCACAGGAAGGAGGATTAGAGAAAGCTTTCTATCTGTCTGTTTGGGCAGGTAACACTGGGGAACACCACCAGGATTCAAGTGACATTCAATACTGTGACCCCTCCTTCTGCCAAAGAACTCGTCCGGTGGAGGACACACCTAACAACCATTTTATCCCTATGTTTGGTGTCTGCTAGCACATCTGAAAAGGACACATACAAGGTCTCCATCACAACTAAAAATAACTGGAGGCTGTTGGCTCAGCTACAAATTTTTGCATGATAAACAAAAACCCCACACACCTCAAAAGATTGTACAGATAAGCAGAAGTTGAGCAGGGCAGGTTAAGGGTAAGCAATTCTGACTACGGGGGCTTCCTGCTAAGAAATGCAAAATGGGGAAGAAGCAGATGCATCATCTGAAACAGAAAGAAATCCTAATGTTGCCTATCCTGGACTGACAGAGAGAAGGTTCCTCCAGGCTCATGGAACCTCTCAGAGAAGCAGGGGCAGTTAGCCCACCAAGCTTCGGCCAAAATATTTCACTGCCAAGACTAAAACATACCTTACATTTTATTTCACTCGTAAACTTTGCTTCTCAGCTTCATACCCGTTCCTCTAAACCTTAAGCCTCAGTAAGATGATCTTCATTTCACTAAAAAATTAGTTTAATGACAGGGAAAGAATGGAGCCAGTTGGCTCACCATCTCCAGAAAGCCCAGAGACCATTAGTTTAATGACAGGGAAAGAATGGAGCCAGTGGGCTGTAGTTCACCATCTCCAGAAAGCCCAGAGACTAGTATGTGTTGTGGAGTACGAGCAGTCCAAACAGATCTGTACTTCAGAGTCGGCTGAAGAAGCTGGAATAGAGAAGTACAGTCTGCCAAGTCACTGATTCTTGGCTCCCAGCATGGGGAAGGCACCTCAGAGCACACAGGTAAGCAATTCTTGGCTCCCAGCATGGGGAAGGCACCTCAGGTAAGCGTGTCTCCTGCAGTGGTTCACCTCCCAGTATCTCTCGAATACAGAATTTGTCCACCCTTGATGAAAGCAGAAGCCTTAAGCCCACAACAGAAAATGCAAGAACCAATACATATTTTTCCCAGCAGGTTGAAAAACCAATATAGCTTTCAGAAAACGCACTCTCTCCAAACTAGAAATGAGGAGCCAGGAACAGAAATCATTACCCTTTACACTGACTGTGATGTAAGGATCAATGCACTGCCCAGCATCTTTCAGACCAATTTTCTCTATGTTGATGGTGAGTAATGTCATCCCGGGTTCAGATGGCAATCTGGGTAATAAAGTACCTGGAAAGAGTAAAGCATATTATTAACCCTTTGTGTCATCTTACAACAGAGGCCTTGCTTATCCCATCATTTCTCATGGAAGATGCTGTTCTCTGTAGGGGGTTCAAAGCCCAAGGATTCATATCCCGATAGTACACAGCACTATGGGGAAGTCTGTGTCCACAGATACACAACATCATTTGACACATTTCAAAGCCCACACCAAAAAAACCCAGGACTGCCTCAAGTCAAATGAATTCATAAAAAACTAATGTTGTAAGAACAGAGAGGAGCTTTGTTTAAAGTGTTCTTTCTTGCTCTCATGCAGAATCACTCACGCATGGAACTGAATTTTTATCATTTTTAAGGATTAAATTCAGGAGGCAGATTCCATCTGCAGTTGCAGGAAGTTCGGACACTTAATCGGGAGTCCCACCCCAGTGAACATGACTTGGCTTCATGTTGAACATTTAGGCTGGGAAAATAAGGAGGAAAACGGCACTGTTGCAAATCCCACTGGACACAAGGGAACCAAAAGAGAGATTCTTAATTATCTAAGTTCTACTGGTGTCTACTTAAAGGAAGGAGATTAAAAAAAAAAAAAAAGAGTTTGCAACCCCCAAGTTCCCTTCTGCCTTAAGGAAGGAATTCCCAGCTTTGCAATCAAGAACATTTAGCATCAAAACTTTGTGTTCAATGTAGGTGAATCCTCACAGTGCTGAGGAAGACAGTGCGGCTGGCAAGAAATCCAAACTGCTCAAACTCACTAAAAGCCATAAGATTTGTCATCAACAATGGAGTAGGTTTCTTCATGCTGATTTCAACAAGAACTGGCAGGCTTCAAGCCTCTCTCCAGTATTAGATGAATAAGCACCGAGACAGAAAACGCTTAGACTCATGAGCACGTTTGATTTAAAGTTATGGTTTTCTAATTTAAAAAAAATGTTATCCCAAGGCTTGATAACAAAGTAATAGTTTCCTTTGGCAAGTCCAATACGGGTTTCCCTTGATACTTTTTTTCCTCTTGATCTGCTTGACAAGCTGGAGAACTATGGAGTTTTTGTCCTATTAGGGAGGCTGGCGTTGCAAGAGGGGACCACGTATGCTGCTGGTAAAACTAGAGTGCCTCAGCTTCAGCAAGATTTCACGAGCACTCCTACATACACCCAGTCCCTCTTTCAAGATCCTCAGCAAGACTCGAATTCACACCTATGATGCAGTACATTTCTGTATTTCCCGTCTTGGCTGCTAGCAGACTTGTGACCTCCAAGGTACCGCATCTGCGGGCATTTCACAACAGATCACAGCAGAATTCGACCCACTGTTCGGAAGTAATGGGACAGGCTTCTGACCACAGCATGAGAAATGTTAAAAAGCAAACTTATTTGAGAGCACCCATTTCTGCAAAGCAGCATACACACTCTGGTTAACCTTGCTGTCTCTCTTGAACATCTGTTCAAGACAGAGTACTTATTTCAATCTAAATGAAGGTAGAAGCAAGCCCATCTTCTCCTTGGCACAAAACTTTGCTCTGCCACCTTTCAGTTGTCTCCTAGAAGCAGCATGCCCCACAAGAGCCAACAACAACTCTTAACTTTCAGTTTGCCTATCCATCACTCAAAGGGACTAAGTCATGGGATACTTGACACAAAAATCACCTAAAAGGTGCATCAGACTGGCACTTATTATAAAAATAGTGGCTTAAGAAAAATTATTCTGTTCTTGAAAAACGCTTTCCAGAATGTGTGAAATTGCAGAGTTGCAATGAACAGAACAGTCAAGCTCACTTCCAGAAGGTAAGAGAACAGCAGGAGAGACAGTCTCCAAGGAACACTGCTTCCTTTCTGTCTCAGCAGCAGGAACGGCCAAGCCAGCAACGGACTTAAGCAGCTGACTGTAACCAGTCTCGTGCGAGCCACAACCACCCGAGCAGGTCTTCCGCTGAAGCCTCTGTCGTCATTTCACACAGGAGCCATTAGCAGAGAGCAACCTCTCTAAGGTGTAACTTTACTAGGGCCGGGCATTGCACTGCCAGTCTGCCACCGTGGCTTGGGCCCGTCAGCCTTCAGCAGGCTCACGTGGAGGCTTTTCATGAGAAAACTGCCAGCCGTTTCAGACACAACCACAGGGCATCATCACCAGAGCGGGAAGGGAGCATCGGCAAATGAAATAAGCATCCTCCTACAAGTGCTTTTCATATACACACAGGTGAGCCAACCCAACAGCTCACTATCACCAAGACACAGGCGTTCAGTCTCTCCATTCCCAAACCCTGATTCAGAGAAAGAGGAAAAAGTGACAAATCTCCTGCTGGGTTTGCAAATGGAAATGGTTCACAGAAGAATCCGTTGCCAGCACAGCACTGGAATAAAGAACCAGGAGAAAGGCAGGAAACCTCTGCCCTTAGAGGCAGCAAGCCATTGGTCAGTTCAGCTCCATACAGCACAGAGGTCTAAATACATTAAGTACTTGTTCATGTAAGATTTCCCATCAAATGTGTATTCCACTACAGAAAGTCTAGCTACACCTACCTTTGGCTACACGGCAAGTCAGAATGCCTTTATTAGCACAGTAGGAATTCTGGAGAGCTACGTGAGGCATGTCACCAAACACCTTCCCTTTTTCTGGTACTGAAGGCCAATGAAGATCATTAGAGATGCATAGTACTACGATTGTTACCAAAGATTGCATTTTGAGGGTTGAAACTAAGAGCTGAATGAAGAACACCACAGCTACAAGAACACGATCAAAGAAATAACTGTATATACTAAAAGGTTATCATACCTTCGTTGGCTCCTGGGTTAGATGAATGGTGCAATGTGATAACGATGAAGCCATGCATGTAGAAGACAAGACCATGGTCAGTTAGACAATACAGTTGTGCGCTACGGATTAAAGGCATATAGAAGCAAAGAGTGCAACACAGTTCTACCAATTCAATACAGGAAGTGCACTTTACTTTATAAGGCTCACCTCAGAAGGCTGCAAACTGCTTTTGTTTAAGCCTCCTCACCCAGAGACAGAGCAACAGACCGACCTCCAATCAGGTAAGAAGCACCATGCTAATCTACATTCAATGGGGGAACAAGAGCTGCGTTCAAGCAACCTTTGGGGTTTAGATTATTGTAGCTATGGGGAAGTTTACCTTAATGCAAAAAAATTCAGAAAAATCAGATATGCTGTTCATTAAGTAGATGACAATGTAAAATATCAGTAAGTTCAGGAGTTGCTCTCGCCTCCTCTTAAAAGCATGGGTTTACTGAGGAATGATTCTGTAAGGAAGTACATGCCTCAAACCGCTCCTCTTTCCTATTTGGCTACCCTACTTCTTTGAAAGTGATTGAACTGTAAACTCAAACCTGTCTATCATCAACTTAGATTCTTTCTTAAGCACATACACAGCTTTTATGTCCACTATAGGTGTCCTGAAATACTAAGTTTGCCAACCTGCTCAGAAACTCAAAACTTGCTGCTTCTGCAAAGAAACTACACCAGGAACCAAAAGAACCTCTGCTGGAACATCCTACTCCTTCACCTGGTAAACTGTCAAAAGCTGAAGTTACAGGAAGACCTTCTCTAAAAAATGTAGGTATATCCAGTTCTACAAGTACTTTCACGTGGACCAGGACTTAAGCTATCAAAACCAAAGCTACTCCCCTTCTCTGTCCTCTCAGAGCTTGGGTTTAGTCTAAGCCGTTGTCTTGCCAGATGATGCAACACAAAAATAACCAGCAACATCTTACCACATCTCTAGCAGGATGTAATGCTCCTTACAGGAGAAACACTGCCACAATTTACCTTTGGATGCCTTTGAAACACTTCACATAGTGCAGTTAAGAAAGTGCATGGGATGAAAATACTGAGTTTGAACAAGAAATAAATGCTAATTATTTGAGGCAGAAGGTATCATCCTCATAGGTTATCCATACAACTGTTTTGCAGTAAGATACTGTTTGCTGAGAAAGAAAAAAAAAAAATCCACTGGCCACCTTTGTGGTTCTTCAACACAGCATTAGAGTTTACATTAGCTTGTTGCTCCTCACCCAAACTTTTCAAATCACAGGTGGGGAAAGGGGCTTCTCAGAGACAGAACTTACACACGCTACCTAGGCTGGCATGGCAAGGCTAGTGCCCCTACCTGGAACTCTAGCAGGAAAAGAGTCTGGAGACCCTGCTCCAGCTCCTCCTTCCTCATCATCCTCCTCAAACTCCAAGTGTTCCTCTTCTCCAGGTGCTAAAATCTTCCTGTAAAACATGAAAAAGAAGAATGAGACCAAAGATCATTCATCACCCATCTTTCAAGTAACAAGTCAGCATCTGAGCACAGAAGCAGAGGAAACATGCTTTAATGTCAGTTCATGCTTCTGATCAGCTACTGACTGTATTACAGACCCTGACAGAGGTTGCAGGAGCTCAGCCCACATAGAAAGCACATCCTAAAACCAAGAGACAATACAGAGAGATGTAGGGGCCTACCAACTACTGATTTTACCAAAAGCATGGGCTTGGTTTTTAGTGGTACCTAGAAAAATCAGAATTCAAAAGGTTCAAAAGGGTTTTTTTTTTTAACCAGTTTATCCAAAGCAATGCAGCAAATAGGTAGCTCTAGAAATTCTAGTGTCTCAGATACACACCAGGTCCCAGGCTATGCTTTCTTTCAGATACGTATCTGTACACGAAGTGACCCAATTCTCTCTTACCTGAGTGGGACAGGCTGAACATCAAAGGGAAACTCCTTATTGTAAGTGAGGATATTCTTTAAGACTGTAGACAGGAAGAAGGAGAAATAAAAAAAATAATCCATAAACAAGAATTAATTCCACTACTTTGCACAGCTATGTCTACTCTCACAACATTTTCAGACACACAATAAAATAAAAAAAAAAAAATCAGGTCACGGCAAAAAAAATTTTCTCCCATATTTTAAACACCAGTACAGTCCTGGTCAGTGCTATATCACTATAACATTCAGACAGGCTAACTGCAATTCCAGCACCTGATCTCCACCACATTTACACAGGCAGGGAAGATAAACGTGGCAATAACCAAAAGCATCATGAGAAACAGCTACAGACCCCCAGGGTAACAGTAGCAATCTTCGGTGGTCACTGAAAGGAGGGTGGTGCTGTTATCAGCAACTGCTCCAAACAACTGAAGTCTCCAGGACTGACACACTTAAGCACACACGTAGGCTGCACATTTAGACAGCCCCACCGCGGGAGTCCAGGCATGGTGGTAACATGTAGCCAAGTTGAGATTTCCTACTTCTTCATGCATGTGTGTGGGTTTGGTTTTTTTCTTGTGATGGTGGTAGGGTTTTTTTGTTTGTTAATCTTTTTTTTTTCTGCCCTCAGATGTCTGGGCAGATTGGCAAAATTCCAAAGAGATACAGTGCAGCACCTGAGCATCAAGCCCCAGAGACACAGACTAAACTCTCCAGCATTCGGTGGAGAATGTCTTTGCCATTTGTATTGGAAACTTACTCACGTTTCAGTAATCACAACTTTAGCTGTTATTTCCAAAAGCATTCATGAGTAAAAGCAAAATTTCCAGAAGCACGTGAAAGAAATAAGCATTTCATGATGGCTAAAAGAACCTAAAAATTTTCAAGACAACACCTGCAAGGAGAGGCACTCTCCTACCAGACAATGAGTATCCCAGACTGGATAGCGGGAACGGAGGTAGAAAAACTGAGTCCTCTCTCTGAGTCTCACTGTGCAATAAGCCCTCTCAGAGCACATTTTAGAACTCTCCCCTTAGGACTACTGAATGAGAACAAACCAGTTTTAAAACAGTGTTAAGATTACACAAATACCCAGAGGTACTTAAATACCAGCTATGTTTAAGGAACCACCGCCAGGCCCCTCTGCACGCTACAATTCAGCCAGCATAGGAGAGCTTCCCTGTCTGCCTTCATATTCACATCACTCAGCATGGGCTCCATCATTAACTTACCAGACACCATCTGAATGCTACAATGAATAAAGAATCCCTCAGGGAAATTATAAAGAACCCCAAAAGTCTTTCCAGTCTTAGCTCATTCTGATTTTTTTTTTCTGATTTCTGTACCACCACCTGAGAGGTTAAGTACTGCCTGATTCCAGCTGGATACAATACATAAATACATAGAAAGCTTGACTTTGCCTTCAGTCAGAGACGTGACAGACAAAATTGATGCCAAGTCTCTCTCTCTCCGAAGACTTCTGCTCTGAGGGATCAGTAACACAGATCTCAACGTGGTGGCGACGAATCACAGCCACTTCCCAACAGAAAAGCAGCTGATTAATAGCAGACAGTCACCTTCCAGTGCAGCTGAGGTTCAGGAAAAGCAGGGGATTTTTATCACTCTCAGAATTCCCCAGCCCTCGGAGAGCTACATCATACCAGAGACCGAAAGTGAAACTGCCCCAGACAGACAAAGCTCAGTAAAGCGAGATGTCTTACAGATCATAGGCAAGGTGCAATACAGAAGCAATAGAAATTACAGTAGTTCTCCTCTCTTCAAGCTTACCAAAGGTTGGTAAGCACTAGATTCCTCTCTCTTCCCAGTAACCAGTTTCTCTCACTACGTGAATGAACATCCCCTGAAAAGAAAACCAACCTTTAGTAATTCAGCTCAGCCATCACTAGAGGGCACGAAATACTCCACCGATACGAGCAGAGGAAAAATGCAAACACTTTTTACAGCGCCTAAAATCTTGATGCTGCCTGGAGGCCGAGCTGAGCCTACAGCCTCCAGCCAGAGAGCCACTGGCAGGCACAGGGGTGTGGGTACCGGGCCTGCCACCGGCAGCGCGCGGCTTTCGGGCACCCTGGAGCTGCTGGTAACAACGGTGATGCCGAATGTGTAGCTCAGAAACGCTTCTGGAAACACCATCCAGAATCTCTTGCCTTTTGCTGCGGAAAGCTGTGGGGCCAAGTTTTTAAAAGGCCTTCAACTCTGCCTCATCACCAGCAGCAAATAATTTTGCAGAGTTGTAACGCGGCAATTTACTAAAGCGCTCCTTTTGACATCATCGGGGTAAGAAGTGGATCTACAGCACTCAGCCCGGTGAAATACTTCCTCAAATCACTAAGAAAAAGCAAACGAATAAACAGCAACGCAACAATCATCCTTTGAGGAAAAGGAAAATCCTCTTCACACCTATCACAAGTGCGAGTTTCAGTTGATTTAAATAAAACCCAATAGGTTACAATGAACAGGAATCTCCCTTGCACTACTGCATAAGACATCCAAGCTTCAAGAGGTTGTTTCACGCTTTTTTGTTTTGTTTTTAAAAACACACATTGCCTCTGGAAGGAAGAGCCCTTCCCCTCTGCAATGCTGCTGCTGAGAACATGATTTACAGAAAGGTCTCCATGTGTGTAACTGACGGGCAGATCCCAGCATCGTGGCCTGCATTTATGTTGCTCTTCCATCAGAAGTCTTTTTAAAATACCATTCTGCAGGCTCTCGTGCAGAAGCTGCCTTTTCTTTCATGACGTTGGACAAAATCACATTGATTTTCTCAGCAGCTGGTTCTCTCTTGAAAGATTTCAAAAGAAATTACCAACATGAGCAGTAAGACCAGTATGCGCTAACTCGGTAAAGGCCACTGTCCATTTGGATTTTTAGTGATAGCCTACGATCATAGAATCGTTTAGGTTGGAAAAGACCTTTAAGATCATCAAGTCCAAAAGATACCTATAGTGTTTTGGGTTTTTTTTTTTCTTATTAATAGACAACACAATAATTCAGGCATCAGGCTCCCCTGTATAACCCAGTATCTATGTCTCATATATATATACACACTGAGTTTGAAACTAGTCGCCTAGTGGCTAGAATTATCACCCAGGAACACAGGCACACGGGATGTCCCAGTCTATCCCTGTGTAATGTGTACTATAACACCGGTATAAGCTTTCACAAGAAAAGGATTTGTGAGATCCAGTGTGTTTGCAATGATTTCACACAGTGTAGTCTCAAAAGAACTATTTGTATGTATGGACCCTCCTGTAGCACTATTCTAGCACAAAAGATTCAGTGACAAATCCTATAAACAAACAAAACTAGCCAACTGTTTCACTTTCCAAGTAGCGTGAAATGCAAGCTTAAGTAGGAAAACTTAGAACTTGACAACACAAGGTGGGGGGGAGGTTAAATCTAAGGGCCTCGGTTGTTATAACAACACCTAAACCCAATTTCCCAGCCATTTTGACAGCTTCAGGCACAAAAGTAATTAAAACAAGCCAAATTGTGTGAATAGCTGTTTTCATTCCACCCTAACAGAATGGCTTGACCTAACAAAGGAATTGCTTATGTGCATTGCCAGCCCAGATTTTTTCTAGCTTTTTCTGGTGGAACACAAGAGAAAATTGACGACACACAAATTAAAACACTTCACGGTGTGTTTTATGAAATGGCTGGTGTTGGCCCGATTAAGATTTACTCTATTCAAGATATACTTAAAAACCACAAAACAAAGGCACAATTCAGAGAAAAAGAGCCCAAAACAATCCAAGTCAGACAGCAGCATTAAGAACATCAATGTTCAATTGTTGTCGTAGAAGCGCCCATTCTCCTCCAAGGAAAATAACTCAGTGTCTTTGAAAACCAATGGCCACACGCTCTCCCTCAGTTTTAATATAGTTGCTTGTATGAAGCATGGGCTGAACACGCTTCACACCATTGAACGGTTTTTTGACAAGTAAAAATCAGTTCTCTGAGGCAGGGCAAGATAAACAACAGGACTGTCATATGGTAACTGAAATTTTGGCTTTTAAGAAAAGGAGGAATTTCAAGGGAAGCTTTACACCTGTCGTCAGAATGTAAATTTTGACTAAACCGTTCAACAGTCCCTTTCTTTGATTTGTAGAAGAGTTTGGTCAATTAAAACATGATTCCTCTCCCTCTTCCATCATTCAGTCACTCACAGGGCATTTGCACAACGGAGTCTAAAATCCAGAGTCATTAAATGATTACAACATTTTAAAATACTCTGTAAACAGAGAGCAGGAGTATCTATACAAAATAATCCCAAATCAGAGGATACAGAGGCCAGACATGGAATGCGCATATGGTCTTCACAGACCTAGCAGTCTTGTAAGGTACCTTCACTTTCCATTTTCAGGGAACAGTTTAAAAGCATTCGGACTCTATGTTTTGGCAGAGACATTAGGAAGCTCAATTCAACACCCTGGTGCTTGACAAGCTTCCCGGTAGGATCCTGTGCCAGTTACTTAGAGAATGGGAGTGCAGAGAAGCTCAGCTTATTCGTGAAGTGGAAACACCTGCCTTCCCATCATGTTTATCCCCAACAGCCCTCTTAATGATACAATTGTGACAGGAGCAAAATAAAACCAGCTTTTGCCAGCACAAGAGATGCTCTTTCACATCTCCTGTTCCCCAAGAATAGCAGAAACGTTAGCATTCAGGATAATATTGCTTAGATGTGGAAGCTCTGATCACAAGGATGCTCTGAGTATAAAGCAGCCACTGTTACAGGAAGGAAAACGTAGCAGATAAATAGATACTTCCTACATGAAAAATTTATTTCTGGATTGACATACCAAGAACCAACCCAGGATCAGTTGGGAAAAAACAACATCACACAAAACCCTTCAAAGACTGACTCACATCCTTGCTTTGACTCAACTTCGTTAGTCGGGTAGCATTACAGCGGTAGGTGACAGGTGATTGGCTACCATAAACACAAATTAAATATTTTCAGAAGGAAAAATAAATTTCATGCTGCAAGGCGGAAGACCACAAAGTGTTGAAATTCAGTTCAAATTAGAAATGTGCAGGTAAATTTTCCAGCCGATTCTATACTGTACTACTGATAGCTGGAATTACTATTTTGTGCAAAAATTAGCAGAACTCAAAGAATTACTTATTTGAGAATAAAGGTGAATACATTATCTGAAATGTTAGGACTACTGTACCCACATTACATTCCTTAGTACACACCAGGTTTTTTCTATGTGGTATCAGATATTTGGAAGAATGACCTAAAACCAGCATTGCTGTCAAATCACGCTGTGGTCAGACAGTATATGCTGTCATGTTTTCCACTGTAACGATAAATGTCACTCACTTAAAGTACAAAGATACTACTTACTTGGTTCCAACTTCTTCAGATCCTCAAGCTTGAATTCATCCTGTGATTGGGTGGACTAGGACATTACAAAGAAAGAGTTAGAACTCAGTATGCGCCTTCCCATCAGACAGAGCTACCAAATCTTAGATTAAGCATGCAAGGTGCTTCCTTTGTTCAAGCGTACCAAGTTACTTCAAAGCTACATCCTAAAAAAACTCAGACAAATTCTCCCCAGCAGCGGCTAGGTCCACAGGTGAGGTGGAAAGCATGTTACTTCTCATTTGCTGAGAATAAACCTATCCCATGTTCCAAGCTCTAATGAAAGATAAGTATTTTTAAAGCAGCTAGTTGGTCTTTCATACTTACTACACACAGGAACATTAAGACAGAGTGACTTGTTTTAATTCTTCCCCAATCGAGTTGTTCTGAAGTGAGATCAGCTGTAAGACTGCACCAGCAAAGCAATGCTCCAAACAGGAGCACTTGTAGTTCAAGACACACGGCCAGCAGTGTTAAGACTGGCAGAAATTACAGCATACAGGATGAGCTTGACAAAACACTCAGCTAAGAGCTCACTGCAAATGGAAGAGGAATTCCCATCTCCTTTCTCCAACTCTGATGATGCAGTTCCCTCATCTGGCTGTAGCACATCTGCTTCTCAGTAAGCCTGTTTGACTCGACAGAAAAGTTCTTAGTTTTTTATTCTGAGGTGGTTCACCAACAGTTTGGCAAGGTGAACTAGCCTATTCTGAGCTGAGAAGTAGCATAAGAAAAGTGGTGCAAGTAAGGGGATTGATAAGGGCAGAGGACTGGGTCTTACTTATTGCATCACTGCACCCTTGGCATCTCCTAAGATTGCCTACTGTTTTCAACATTTCTTTAAGGCCCAGTAGGGTTTTTTTTCTTCTTGATTTTGCCCAAGTGCCAACAGGGACCTTCTGCAAGGCTACAGAAGGACAGTAACGCAGCTATACCCATACTGTTAGAGGAATGGGAAAAGATGATGACACTGCTTTAATCTCTGCTAAGGAACCATAACAAAATGGCAGCAAGTAAAATGCTCCCCAAAGCAAAGTGGATGAGAAGTTCTAGTACCCTCACACGAAGTTATAAAATCCTTGAGCTACTGCTGAGGAACCAACAGCAAGGAAAGCTGTTCGTGCAAGACACCATCTCTTCAGTGTAGCAGGTTATGATGTTGATTCATCTTCTGCTGTTGCTCTGAGATATGACCTGACCCGCGAAGCTGTCTCACAATGGAACATGCCTGCCCTTGTCACAGAATCACAGTGACACAGAACCAATGCAATGCTGTTCAAACACACACTCCAGGTTAGACCAAAATAGAAAGAGAGGTAGAGCTAACCAAGTAATTCTCCAAACGCTGCACAGCCTTCAGACTGGTCAGCCCCCACCTCATTAGTCCAGCTCCACCATGCTGCCTAAATTGTCACTGTATCCCAACCTCTCAGACAACTGAAGACAGCCCAATGGAGCTGCTGCGCCTTTTAGGGCTACATGAAGTACTTGGGAGCACTGCTGTGAGTAACTTGATGCAAAATTTGCCTGTCACCACTCTTTGTTGTTAAAGAAGCGATCCAGTCACACAAACTTTGCTTCGGTTGATTCATCCCTCCCCCATCCATGCTCTTTTGGAAACTTCTCTCACTTCCCTTTTGTTTTGGGGATAATGATTGTACTGAGAGAAAAAGAAGTTCACTTCCATGCCATCTACCTTCAGGCCAGAAAAAAGCCCAAAGAGAAGCTTCTCAACCATCGTTGTCACACACTTGCCTACAGCACCGACAGTGTTCACGACTGCTACAAAGTCATTTTTATTCTACACATGCATTCTTCCTTGTGCTCTATTATGATTTGTGAAGAGGCTGAATTAGTGCAAGGGTCACTCCAGGAATCTTTCTACCCTTGCACACAGGTTAGGAAGACAAACTGATCAGTTCTGAAGAACGAAAATGAGGCAAAGAACCAAAGACACAAGACCTGCAGTTATATTCCTGTACAAGCCCTAATACATGCTCATATAAGCATTTAACGTTTTTTAAGGCAGCCACCTGGGGCATCATGTTGACAACCTGGAAAGTCCAAGTGCTCAAGGGTTTGTTTGCTCTGTTTTTGGCAGTTTTGGCTATGTCTGAAGACACTAAACTAGCATTAAAAAGCTCTACAGTTCCCCACCACTAAAGTATGAAGTCACATAGGAAAAAGAGCTATACCTGTAAAGCTGCACTTCTCAGTTCCAAGCATGTTGCAATTTTAGCTATGGTTTTCTGAAAGGAAAAGAAAAAACAAACTTAATTTAGTACTGAAAATTGTATTCTTCCATATTCAACTTTTTAAAAATATAAATGCTTTTTTTGCAAATATTTCAGATCTATTATTCAGTATCAGATCATTCAGCATCAAAAGCTTTTTTTTATACACAAACAAGATTTTCTGAAATTACAACAGATGAAACAGACATCTGCCACTTAACTCCCCTCCCACAGCTCATCAGCACAGATGGGGGTCATTCACTCAGCAGAAACTGCAATAATGCCTACCACATCATAAATTGTTTATAAACTCAACTGCTCTGAAGTGACAGAGGAGAGAAAGAAAAAAAAAAAATCCAAACCAACCAGTATATTACCTTCTGAGAACCTGAGGGATTTGTTCTAATTTGCCCTTTTAGGAGTCATGTCTACAGTTCCTCTATCGGGCTTACAATCTCAACAGACCAAGTCAGCCCTCCTCAGGAGTTACAGAAGCCCAGTATCTCAGCACTGGAAATACACAGTCCGCTTTTGTGGGTTTTGGTGGGAGAGGAAGTAGAAAGGCGGATTATTTTTCTAACTTTCTATTTTTGTAATTTTAAGACATTTAAACTCTGAGCGAAGCATGGAATAGAGTATTTGATTCAAAATTGTCAGCTATCTAAAATACCCCTGAGCAGAACTGTGAAGTAATATCTCATTTTTATTTAAAAATGTAGAAGATGGAAGGGCTTCAAAATAGCCCATTCCTAGCAGTCTTACTTTGAAGACAGATCTACTTAAGCTTTTATGTCTCACGAAGCTCCAGCAAGTCACATTTGTTTCTATTACTATCAGTTGAAAAAATCAAGTGGAATTCAGACTTCCGTAACTGACATTGAGTGGACATAACTCCATGGTGTATTTTACCTTGCTTGACCATCACAAGTTTGTTCATTAACTAGAGGGCTTTAGTGAAGAAAAACTACATCTATCTGCAGAGATAAGGTCCAAATATAATTCAAAATGCCCTGTGGAACATTAGTTGTTGCTATTTTTCTTGCCCTATAAAGCTATAAAGAAAAGCAGGTTATTTTTTCAAAGTAAGAATTCCCCTCAGAAGGAAGATAAAAGTTGAAATACGCACCTGTAACTCATTCTCTCCTTTTAAACCAGGCAATATAAAAACAGCTCCCCCCAAGCTGGATGCAAGGGGAGGAAAAGACTTCCTAGAGCATAACTCTAACATCAAATAGCTTTGAGAGTATGGGCATCTGGCAAGTTATGCGGTATCAGTCAGAAGCCAAAACTTCCCTTTAAAGGAGGGTTACATTTTAGGGCTCCAAGAGGTTTGTAGCAGCAGATGAAAACTGGGTGTGCTTTCACAGCTACCTTCCCCAGTCATCTGTCTTGACTCTCCTGCAGTCAGAACTGCTTCTCAGTCAGCTCCAGGGCCACCAGGAGTTTCAATAGGCTGGGCTAAAAGCTAAGTGGCTCCAGTTTCAGTTCACCTTATGCCACACTGAAAGTTGAAAGAGTTCAGGAGCTGAATCATAAGTAGATCAGACACCAATACCTCAAGGGCAGAGCCAACAGCTGGAGCATGTAAAAGCCTCAGGTACCTGATTTTCATCTGCCACTGCAGGCTCATCAAAGCTTTCAAAGCCATTTTTCCCCAACTGGTATCTCCTCTCATCTTAAATATTCTGTTACAACATGGCATTAGCCCAGACTTCACATTCTTATAGTTTATATACTGTCCATTGCATGGAGGTCTTACACAAAATTCAGTTCTTTTATGCACCTTCCAGGAAAGTAGCAAGTGATGCCTATTAGCACAGCACACAATTTTCTCTCCTGCCTAGGATGCAGCATGTGCAGCGGTGTGCTGTTTGGGAATTTTAATACAGAACAACATGCCTGCATGCAACGTGGCAGAGTAAAAATATTACAGCTCCATTTCTGTTGAGGTTCATTCTGTAATCTAGGTTCAGTCAACAATCTTCTACCTCCCGGAAATAAATTCTGCCACATAACAGAGATCCATATCCGGATCTCCAGCATAACTTGGAAAAGCACAGATTTTTTGAAAAGGAAAGTAGTACATACAGTCCTGGATTAATTTTGACGCTTTCAGACCCACAGTCCACACGTGGGTGTTGGGGATTTACAGGTACCTTCAGGATGGATGGGAGGACACCAGGTAATACTACAGAAGCAGATTCTCAGTCCCTAGGGTGAGAATGGACTACATCCATCTAACCAGCTGCAGTGTAACAACAGGAATTCCTTTTTATGTTTGAGAACATCTGGAAAGATACAGTTACAAAGGTAGAATCTTAAAGAGGAAGGTGTGAAGTAATGGGTAAAAGAAAGGAATCCAGAGGTTCCCTAGGGAAGGGAGGGGAAATCTCTGAGGTTTGACTACAGCTCTAACATTTGCAAAAACCCAGCTGTTCTGATGGTTTGGGTGTTGACTGCTGAGCGAAGAGCATGCCCATCCCGTGTTAGATTAAAACCCCTCCAACTGCACCACAGAAAGAGGGCTACGAGTTCGCAGGGTGCCAGCATGCGGTATCCGTGCCTCACCATGGAATCAGAACATGCAAACATATTTTCACATGGCTTTTCCCTGCCCTGTCTCAGATGCAGAGCATTGAGCCCACACCGTAAGCAAGGTCTCGAGAAGCACTGCTCAACCCCCATCTCCTTTGTCAATTCACCAATAAGCTCAGCAACACCCCTGTTCCCAATCCTGCAGATTCATAACTGTGTATTCTTAGAAGTGCCTGAAGTAGGTACCTCCTAACAGGACAAACAGCAACACAAAATGTGTGTCCTCTGGCTCCCAGGGGCTGAAGGGCAATAATGGCTCTAGAAACAGATTAACTGAAGAGAGTTTGGGAGTCTTAAAATAGTAAAGAATAGGTTTTATATGGAATCTATTGAAATATGGCAAGCTCCCAGCAGGCATTATTCATAACTATTTTTTTAAGGGACCACACCCAACCCAAAAGTTAAAAATGCAGCTAAACACTGCTATCATTTTCAGCTGCAACTATCCCATGCAAAGGCTCATTTTTGCAGCAGGGAAAACATTCTGCATCTCATTAGAAAGACTGAAGCCATAATTAACGTTGCTAGTTTAAAAAAGTTAAGATTCAGTTTTATGTAAACTCATGATTAGAAAGGGAAAAAGTCAGTTGATCTCGTAGTCAAGGTTTCTTCAGTGCAGTTGTGTGAGTAATGACTGTGCTAACTGTAATGCAGTCAAAGATGTTTGCATAAATACAGAGCCAGAGCAGCGTTTGGCTTTAAAGAGAGGTCTAGGCTGTTAAGAGACCAGTAGTTTAATGAATCATGCTAAGACTCTTCAACAGTGCTCTTATTTCAGCCAGTTACCATTCCATAAAAAAAAAAAATTTAAAAAAAAAAAAAAAAAAAAGAGCACGATTTTCTAACACTGCCGAAAACTCTGCCTAGCACAAAAACAGTTACACGAGAAGCAACAACTGCGGTTAGAAGAGGGCTTTAAAGGTCAAATTTATTGCACGGAGAACCGGGTGAGAGTAACTATAGCTGGAGGCAAGCTGGCAACCATGGCCAAACCTCACTGGAACAACTCGTATAGCAAAACACAGTGGTTGATCATGAATGAAGATGCGATTTTTAGAGAATGAAGGTAAAAACAAAGAGCAGCAGGATGCAGATGTTAAGACCAAGGTAGATCCACCAGTAACTGCATCTGTTAATATTCCATACACGCAGCTTTTAGGTGGCGAAACTGTTGCACAGCCTCATTAAAGCTGTTGCAGGGTGACTAGATTTAAACACAACGATTTGTTGTTTACAATATTTATCTGCAGAGAAATTCTTCAACAAAATTCACAATCATTAATGAAGATTCTAGCACTCTAAATTACCCAAGTCAAGACAAAGCCTTCACTAAGGACTAAAACTCCAGAATTATGTCCAGCGGTAGTACATATAAGACAACAACCCCCCCAGAAGCTGAAAATCCAGGAATGAATGGCAAATTCTGGAGACTAGTCTGCTCTATCAAGGGAAGTATCAGTGTTTCAAAACAGACTTTTCAGATCAATAGCAAAAAGGCAAGACATGAATATTTAAAAGTCTGAATTCTTACCATAAACAATACATTTATTAGAAGATAAATGATAATTGGCTCACAGTACGCCTAGGAAAGAAATTGGTGGTATCTGTCAAGCGTTGTTAGACTAACAGATTGTATGATTACATTAGCAAGTAACACACCATCAATTATGGCGTGGCCTATCTGCACTGTAACACCACCTGTGATGCATGAAATAAACCCAAACATGGTAAAAGTTTATACAGACAGATGGGGCTGAGGATTTTAACCTAGCCTTGTCCTTTCCCTGTAGCTGTAAAGCTAGTAGTTTTCCCTTGGTACAGAGGAATCACTGCTGAAATCCATCTTCCCCACAGAGTATGTCAAGTAAGGAACAGTGATGGCCCCATAGTAATTCTTGGCAGCACGTATGATCTGTTGGAGAACGGCTAACTGTAAATCTACACGAAGACTGGAATGAGGGTAGGTCAAGCAACTGGAAACCAGAATTAGCTTCATAGCCTTGCCTTCTCCAGTATATGAAATTCTGTGCACAGCCTTGGCCAGTAATATCAGGTAAGCAAACCCTGAAGTTTACACACTGTTCTATATTCAGAAAAATAAAGAGGTGGCTCTTGCATGACATACAAAACCTCAGAAAGACAAGATATTAGGCAAAGAGACCTTCCAGAACCAGGAGGAAATAGCATGCTGGTGGATGCATCGGCAGGAGCTTTGTTGAGCAAAGTAGCTGGTTTGGTATGTAGACTTTTTGCAGGGCGGCAAGAAAGAAGATACACATCTATTTAACCAAACCGCTTGAAAACCCAGAAATGTACTAAATTCTACTCTTGCACACCAAGTGAACGATACTAACGATGATAGTAATTGGTCACGATCACTAGATTATACTGGCTGATCTCCTGGAGAAATAGGGAAGGCCAGAACAGCCAGGAGCTTAACATCAGACCAGAAGATTTTGCTGTACAGAGTTTTAAGCGCCTTTCAAAGCAATAGCAAGACTCTTATTTTTGGACAGAGAATGTTCTCTCAGAAAAATGTTGGGGAATTTGGCTGTGTATGTGGTTAATGAAATAGGCACCGCCATTTGATAACCAGGCTCAAAGTTTCAGTGCATCAGCCCCTTACTGGTGTGCAAAAAAAAGCAAGTGATATAAATGTCAACCTCTTTTGTAAGACAGATCAGCTTTAGAAACAGGTATCACTCTGCAAGGGTTCAAAACAGCCACTCCTTATTTTTTCTTTTCAGAAGACTGTCGCCTTAAGACATGATCGCAGTTGCGCATCTAACATCTGAGGTCAGTTATCTCTGCTTCCTGAGCCCCCCAGGCCTTCCCTCGTGGCTGACCTCACTCACTTCCACAATCTGGTTCCAAGGTCCTTTCCACAAGATTCACTGACCATCTGGAAGCAAAGCCCTGCGTGGTTCTGGTTCCCATGCTCACAGATGATGCCTCCAGAAGTGAGATTAACAGATTCGCCTTCATCAAGTAACCATATTTTCAAAAGTATCCACAGAGGGGAAACACACAGCAAAGATGACTATAGCTGAGAATGATGGAGAAAGCTACCAGCAAGGGACAGAGAGCAGAAGCAATCAAAGAGTAAACAGCTGTCCAACATTAACAAGGCTCCTAAGCCTTCAGGTCAGGAAAGGCGGACCCAATCCTCCTCCAAGAATGTGACTCAGTTTAAGATGATCATGAGCTTTATCATCTTCTTTGCAGAAGGTGAACATGGAAGACCAGCTCTTTGCTTTTCTTATCGGTACACGTCGAGGAAACAGTTACAAATGCTGTCAGACTCTACGTAAAGGTGTATTTCTTTGTAATGAGTTTCTTCGAACACATAAGCGCATCTCCAATTTCAGTAGTCAGGACCTGTCTTCAGGACCAACAATTCCAAACACAGATCCCATTAGTCTATCACCCTGCTACCACAGGTGGGAAGCAAATGATCTTATGACTTGGAAATCTGGAAATACAGGGGTTCCCTAATTTAGTATTTCTAAGAAAAAAACCCATGCCTTTAAACAAGACACAAAAATTCAGCAAGGCCTCATATCTCAAAAGATTTTATTTTACTGAAAATGCTTGAACGTGTGAGACCTCAGCTAGCATTTTCCTCTTAAATCCTGTCACAGAGAATTGCATTAATATGATGCTGAGACAAGAAACAGCCTTTTCAGCTGAGCGGAGGGAGGGAGTAAAATCATTTCGATATCTTGAAAAATTATAAACAAATAACATTCTAAGAGACTAGTAGGGAGCATTCTGCCAGGAACCTTCCCAGTCAGGTGTTACATGTTAAGCTAGCATCCCCCTCACACACCCTCGATGTCTGCAGTTCAAGACGTTTTGTATTCAAACTTCACATCACAAGTTGTGCTGAAGTTCTATAAGCAACTTATCAAAAGGTGACCCAAAAAAAGAAACACCCAGGTTATGAAGGACTCTGGCCAGCGTACATGACATTCAATATTACACAGCAGACGATGTGTCACATCCAGTGACAGCAACTGTTTTAGCCATGCTGGGCTGTTTCTGTTTGTCTATATTGAGGAAGTAAAAAAGAACTCATAAGGCTCTGGTCTGCAAGACACAAAGAAGCACAGTACACATCAACGTCTGTGGTCAAGCTCCTTGACCGAGCAAACAGTGGTACTCACCTTTTGATCTTCTGTGAATTCTGAGTTGTTGTGCTGAGACTGCGCCTCTTTCTGTAGATGCCTTGCTAATCTGGAGCGGGGGGAAAGAAAATTGTAGAGTGGGAACACGACACAGAAACACACACACATGCCACGGTCTCCAGAAAATGTGTCAGCCAAAAAGTCCACAGACTGCTGCTGCAAACAGTTTTTGTTTTAACAAAGATTTCTATAACCATGGTAGGCCATACTTAAAAAAAACAAACCAGAAGATGGACAAAGTATGCAGCTACATTAGGCAGGAAAGACTACACATATATCGTGAAGGGAGAATAGGTAAGAAGATCCTTCTAGCCATCAGCCCCTTTTATAAGCCCTGACCGTTTTCCTCTCCCTATCCCCGTGTTTTCTAAGAACAAAGTGTGCCCCCTGTGAAGACCGACTGCGGTACAAGCCCACATGCATTTCACAGGGAGAGTTTGAGGCGAGTCAGATTGCCAGGAGGTGCGGGTGCGGGCACCCCAGGCGACGGCCGCACGTTCTGCCAGGGCTGGAAGCCAGGCACAGGGCGGCTTGGCCCAGGCTGCCGGGGTGTATCAGCTCACATTTGCGCCTGTCAGCATCACATGCGGAGCAGAGACCTCACCCCTTGTCACCACGGAGACAGGAGGAGTACCAAGGGGTTTGGAAAGGAGCAGTAAGCAAATAGCTCGAGAAAGCGAAAGGAAGCTAGAGGGAAGCTATGGGAAGAGTTACAGTTTCCGTCCAGGGAGGAAGGAGAACATTAAACATGGAAAAACTTCTGGGCAATTGTTGCCGTTCCCTGTAAATATTTGTTTGTAAAAAAGCAGAGGGGGAAGGGGAACAGGGGGGTGAGGGGAAACCCAGGGACAGCAGCAGTGCTGGGGGCATCGCAGTGCACTTCTGGAACCTCATAAGTTTGCGCTGTTAAAGGGATTCAGCCTGGGTTTTGGGGGGGCTTAAAATATGTACACCAAGATGTGTACACCAAAACAGATTACCGTCAAAGCCTGCGTGAGAAACAAAAATCAGAACTCTATTACTTCTCTGCTTTTCCTAAAAATAAATTCTATTAAAATGACACGAGGATTGAGGCTGCCATAGTTTTTAACTCACACCAGTGAAAACACAACCAAACAGGACAAGGTAAACACAGCTCAGTGCTGTTGCCCCCCTTCACAAAGGGGGGGAAGTGGTGGCTGAGAAAAGACAAAAAGCACAAACACGCTTGAACCCAACTGTACGCTTGTTCCCTACCACCCTGCTGCTATGACACATACAGGGACATAAAGTAAGGGCATTTAGAAGAAACAATTTAAGAAAACACATCACCATAGCAGCAATATGCCACCCACAACAGGCAGCATCACAGTATTAACATTTCTGCAAGCATCAGGAATACAACCTTCTTTCCATTTGTCACCAATACAAAAAAAAAAACAACCCTGCCCTAATCCAAATAAATGCATCTGGCGTCTCACTTGAGGCTTCTTCAAAGCTGGATCAGACCAGGCATGTTCAACAGGGCTCCTGCGCGATTAAGCCCCTGAACGAGCAAGGGCCAATCTTTGCACCAAGCTTCCTGCGCTTCTACGAGTAACATAAAGACCTGAGCAGATGTAGGTCCCTTGGACACAGGAGGCAAATAATTGTGTTTTACGCCAGCAGCCATTAAATCCATAGAATGAACTAGCTTACATTTGGGAAGGTCTTCCTTAGCATCAGCAAGCTCACTGTAACCAGCTTCTCCCCAGCCTCCCCACGTTGATTAGCATGGACCTTGCCAACGTTGGCAGCACCTGGCCAACCACAGCAACACACTTGTTCATCCCATCTCCGGTTGCCATTTGAGAAGGCAACAGAATAAAGCCATGCTGTTATGTCTCTGCAGAGCTACAGGTATCTTGCCCTGTGCTTCTTATTTGCAGCTTCTACCCTACAGATTGAAACTGTTATTAATTTACCTGCTGTATCTACAAGAAGCAGATACGCACACTGAGAAGGTTCTGCTCCTCCCTAGGAAATATCTCCCAGTAATCCTTTGATCTTCTCTCCCCTTTCTTCTCCCTCCTGGAACCACAGAGTTCATCTACTGATGACTATTCAGTAGAAACTCACTGATAAGGCTTGCAAGAGCAGCTTACAATACCATCACCCAAGAGGAGCTTTCTTACAAATCACACTGCTCCAAAGTGGGAATAAAGCAAGGGCACGGGGATCACTCAGTTCTCATCAGACGCAAGTGACGCTGGGAGGAAGGGAACAAAAATTATACTTCGACTCTCAAATGGGTCTGTCTGCAAACATTTAGTGACCTTACTTCTCAATGAAGCAAGCTCAGAATGAGAAGCCTGAAGCATTTTCGTTCTGAAAAAACGTCATTAAATGAAACTGACTGCTGAACTGCCAAGATGATTTGAAGCATTAGGATCCTACTGGACTCCTCATAGATGTCCACATAAGGGCAGTTATTAAAAATATCTTTTTTTACTTTCCGACAATGTTTTTTTTCTTCTGAGATACAGATCTAGAAGAGAACTTCTTTTCATCCCTATGCCAAGGTTTGTAGTAACAGCTTGCCCTACTCTAAAAACCATCAGCAAAGTGCAAATAACTGCACTTGCATCATCCTGCCTGGTGAGTGAATGAAATGAGGAGACTATGGCATCTCATGACTACGCTGTACCCGGCCAGCAGCCTAGTTACTCCAAATGGCAACTGAACTGGTAGCCAGCATGGTTATAGCCCATAACTTGAACAGACCTGAATAGCGCTAGGAGATCTCTCAGAGAATGTCTCTTCAACTGACTTTCTCTTGGGGACCAAGCGCAAACCCCCTGGACTTCTTCCAGAAAATTCACCACAAGAAACTTAGCCTGCAATGCTCCTATCACAAGGAAGTAGCTTTCATCTTCATGGTGAATAGAGTATGAGCGGAGAGCGTGCAACTAAAGCTGCCAGGTGTGTTTCTAAGGATAGCATCAGCGGTGCCAATACCTGTTGGATACCAAGGGATTCACGGACGGTGTGGTCCCACCCAGTGCAACCCAAGCTAACTGGGGCCGTACCAGTCGCTGCCCTCCCCCCCCCGGCATCCCTGCTCTCCCACCCCGCTTTCATCAGGGGTGAAACACGCAAGCACGCGATGGACCAGTTTTCACCCTGATGGGTTCTTTTGGGGTAAGGCCGATGCTTCGGCAGCCTGTTTGCCTCAGCGGGGTCCCGCTGCCCCACAAGCACGGCTCCCTGGGGCACAGGGCGATGGGACGGGATTACCCTGGAGACACCGGTGCCCATCA